ATGCGCAGCAGGGTGATGAAAATAAAAGACCGGCTTACGCAGAATGAACAATATGGAGTAGTGTATCGCATCCCATGCCTAAACTGTCCCTGTAATTACACTGGTCAAACTGAACGCATGCTCGGATCGTGCATACATGAACACAAGCAGGCCGTGCGACGAAGCGATGAATCATCACAAGTTGCAACTCACACCTACAAAACAGGCCATGAGTTCAGCTTGGCTGCCGTCAAGCTACTCGCCCACGCAGGAAACAAGAAGAGCAGAGAATTTATCGAAGCCTGGTCCACGGATGAGAATGCTGTCAACAGATGTGTCGAAGTGGCACCGGCGTACAGGGCCTTACGCTATTACTAACGATCACATACAGACGCCCACCATAATCAGTTGGCCCAACATCCTCCATAATCGCCCCATTTTCGGTGCTGACGTAGCCATTTGGCGCCCAAGCCTAACAGTTATCAATTTTTACACAACCCCTCCCATCTTCCCATCTCCTATGACTTTTCATTGTCCCTTCCCTCTATAAATTTTGCTTGTTTTCGTTGACGATTTTATTTCCATGAATATTCCCACCCATAATGCCGATCTCGCCTACTGACACAGGCTAACATGGTCCACAGCGGCGAGTCGGCGGCACAAACACACAATTATTGATTTTCTACACGTTCAAATTTTAGTTGTTGTACACACACCACAAGTAGCCACCCCATTTGTTGCTATTTTTCCATCTCTGACGATGGACTCCTGCAGGAGCCCGAAACCTTCGAATAAAATACAATTCGTTCCAGTGTTTGATCATATGTCTTCTTTACCTCTGTAAACTTCTGTACACAATATATTGTTCCTCTCTGGCCTTCCCAAGACTTCTCCCATCTCCTAAGGAACCGGGCCTGGAAGATAGTAGCTGTTAGGGTTAACCGTCTTAGCCTTAACGCCTATAGATGATTCACCATATATAGTGGAGGCAGAATTTCTGGCCTAGCAAACGAATCTCACATGCTCATAAAACGACCGAGGCAATGACAGCTAAGAAGTATTTTTTCGGCAAAATTATTTCTCGCACGTAAAATGAGCTAATACTCAGACGCAAATTGGCCGATGTGAGAGTGATAAACAAAGATGCGCTCTCTCTTTCTCCCTCCCAGTCACGGTCCATCAAACAATACTATCGATGGTAGTGAACAGGCGAGTTCTAGGAAGCAGTTCCGAAGAAGAAG